ATTTCTACATATTACAATTGGAKCTCAACTCCATAATCAGAGCACACAGGCTCTTTTTCAATTGGGTCATTCCAGAAAATATCTGTTTAGTCACCCATTTCTAATTTGAACTTTTTACACTACAGTTTAATTTTATTGTACTGATAAAATAACAGCGTTGTTTTTTCTGGAGAACTTATTTTATTGTTTAATCTCAAACAGGTGAAAGAGAARTACAGTCACTATAAGCATAAGTTAGAACTAGAAATGGCAGAAAGAAGAAGGAAGAAGACACCTTCAGAAGGAAGTCCAAACAAAGTAAAAGCTAATTAGAGCCAGAATTACAACTGTGAACTCGAGGAAAAGATATGTTGCCTACGAAGTCTCTCCAGTTTACCAAGTCCTCTTAGCTTCTTTGCCAATAGCAACAGCTTTCTACAGTTACTTGCCTGACTGAAAGCAAAATCTGTTTAAGTAGCCTTATCTCCTTTTAAAAAGGGTTTAAGAGCATTCCAGTGGCCCAGAATGCATTATTGATTTAAATCAAATCCATTGAAAGCTTTTAAGTTTGACGTGTTATCAGCTGTRTGAGAATAATGTCTTACTAATTTTCCTTTCTATATAGACAGTATGATTTTAACCACACATCTGCGATAGWTGAATACATGCAATAGGCAATGCAATGCAACAAAATCAATTCAAGTACACTGTTCTAATCCAGAAACAACTTTTGTTCCATTGTAAATATGATGTACATAGGTGTTACAGTAATTTCCTATTTATGAAGCATAGTTTCATTAGGTACGTTTCTTGTTAGTAACAATTCTTCAATAAAGTGAAATATGGAATAAATTCCAAGAGTGACATTCAACATGTATACAGACTACAACTATATAATTTTATAAAAGCAAATTCACAGTTTGATTTCTACAGATACTTTGGTTCATCGTATGAGGGAGTGGCTGATCCCATTAAAGAGTGCTCAATACACATAAAGTGTAGAGCTAGTTATATATGTGATATCAAAGAGGCAATATTTTGCTGTAACTCCGAGTTTCGTGCTATGCACTCATCAGACAGTCACGAAACTCGGAGTTACAGCAAAATCTTGCCTCTTTGATATCATATTTTTACTTTGGTTCATATTTTTTTGTGACAGGTGTTGTTTTCATTGTTGGAACATTATTAACCATGTAACTATGGWAGAGTACAAACACTAAAACTGTGCAACATAAATACCACTAAATACTGCTARATTATGCTAATTCTATTTTTCTATTGTTTAATTAACACTATTTTGTAGTAAACAGTGGAAAGTGTTGCACACATTTAATGTTTGTACTCTAATAACACAGAAAAAACTAATGTTCTGACAATAAATCTAACATCACTAATGAAGGCCATGCCAAWTGAGAAATTATCAAACAAACTTTTGGGTGGCCAAACACATTCAAACTCCATCCTACTAGTTTGATGCTACATCAAACCTCTAACATCATCAAACAAGAAGGCCAAATGGTAGATGATTTTTAAAACCATGTTTGATGGTTTCTGTTYAATGGTGTTTGGTGATCCAACATTTCACATTTGACTAATTTATTAAGGAAATTTTCTCTTATTACTGTTGCACCTCCAATGCCACTATTTAATGATAAAATATAATTATTCAACAATTATAACAGGATAATATTTTCTAATAAACAAATCATATCACAATAAAAGAAATCAATGATTAATATTTTGCAAATGTTATTTCTTTAATGTCTAGAGTGTCAGTGACTTAAATCTTTGTGACTTTCTATGCCAGAAATTGTAACACTGTCGAAGTGTTCAACAGTCTCTTTGATAAGCTTATGAATTATAAGTGGCTGTAATGGTACCTTAGAGTTCCACAGACAAAATCACTCTTCTGTTTGCACTTTATTTACATTTATTAGCTATGAATGATGCCATAATTTCGAGGATCCATAAAAGCTAATATCAATCARACTCGAAATGAATCGATTGATAAAGTGAATCAAGTGCTGTAAATTAGAGTGACTAGTTGACTGTACAATAACTAATACTACGATATATATTACACATGAATTTCACCGAACCTTTACAAGCATCAATTCATCACTGTCGCCATCTCATTATTTACAACTTTCATTGAAGMCCTTGTACTTCATTCCTTTGAAATATAATATGAACAAACATATAGATTGTTCATAAACAAAAGAAAAACCCAGGACTTTTGATTCTTGTTACAAGTATTCGCCTTTGAATTAYATATGTACACTTGGTTTCAGTGATTGTTTGTGTGAAATAAAAGAAGTAAATCTTGGATATTCCAAGATACTAATAGGATTATGCATTTATATTGATTTTGGAAATTTGTTAGATTCTATCAGCAGCTGTTGTCATGAWGTCCATGCTTCACACATAACGTAAGGAAAGTCTACATGTAATCTTGGGACTTGCAGAGGAACAACTCCTTGTGGTGAAAGTCTGTCTGTCAATGGTCTCATCCAAGCCTTTTCTCCTTTAGTTGTTGGCTTAACTTCTTCATAAAATTCATGTGCTAGATCTCCATCTTCATCAAAATACATAGAGCTGGAAAAAGAATATGAGCCATGTTATCTGTTGGCTAGACTAYAGAATACCTGACCACAGAGAAATTTTTAGTGCTTCCACAGTCTCCCACTACTTAAACCTGCAGGACTATGGTATTACTTTGAAATAATACAACTGCTTTGTGGTATGAAACACAGTCAACTCAATTAATGATTAGAGTTTCAAATCCAGCAATGTCCATTTCATACACAATTCAAGTTTGGTACTTTGTCAGACATCAGTGTCACATCATAATATTATTTTAAACTAAATAACAGCATGGTGAAAGTATTTTGAATATCATAAAYAATTTGTGAACAAAATAAATCATAGTTTTCACTTATGCTTATTAGTGAAAAGGTGACTTTCTTACCCAGTTCTTCGCCACACTAGAGCATTGGCTTTATGCAAAGTATCAGGGCTAGGTAAGGCTTTAGAAGAGTACCCACCACATCCTATCATGTACTGAACACCTCGATACATATGAGATACCATAGATCCCATTTTAAAATCTTCCTAAAGAGGAATTATCAATCACAAACTACTCATKTTCATCTTGTATTTAGTTGTTTTTGATTGACTGTAGCGAGGCAGCTAAGYCGAAGATGCCCGAAATGCATTGTTCAACTCTGAGATACAGGAAACCCAATCGATCTTATTGCATTTTTATGTGAAAAATGTTTTATTATTATTATAAAATATATAAAATATAATAAATAATAATTTTTTTTTCTAGATTTAATATTTTTAATTGTAAAAAGTTGTAGAATAATGCAAAGACCATTGAATCTTATTGAAATACATTCTTGCTAAAAAGGCGGGAAATTTGAGTCACGTGAACRTTGACCATGCGCGCGAGCGCAAGCCGGATGAAAACAAACATCTTCGTCGCCTGACGAGGCTGTTTTGAGTACAAAGAAGGACAAAATAGAGGSCATTTACAGGTAAGCATGCTGTATATTTAATTTTGCTATTAACTATTGACTCCTTTGTTGTTAGAAGAAAGAAAAGACTGAAAAAGTCGGCATAAATGTAAATACTCGGAGCGTAAATCTTGAAAAATCCTTCAACAGCATGTTAGTAGGAGAGYAATGCTAATGCGGCCAGATACCGCTGTTACATTTAAATATATGAAGTCGAGCTTTCGYTGTTCTACAGCATCATCAGTCCTGATGGTGCTATAACAGCGAAAGCTCGACTTCATATAAATAAAAGTTAAGTATTTACCATACAGAAGTAAAGTACAAACACGAAAAGCGTGCAACACTTTCCACAAAATAGCATAAATTTAGCAGTATTTAGTGGTATTTTTAGTGTTTGTACTCTATCTGGCTGCATTTGCTATATTTAAAACCMGGAGCGTAAATTTGGTAATCTCATTAACAAATTATTCAAGGAGTACACGTAGCCAATTTTACATGACTGTACGCAGTAAATCGTTTCAACAGCGACTGGAAAGTTAAGGGTTGTCCGGGAGGGTGCTCTTTTGAAACGGGAACAAAAGTGTAGCTCAGGGGCAAGAATTTTATCATTCTGTCATGAAACTTATGCACCTATCAATAGAGACTTTAATCCGTCCGTCGAGGGAGTTCCCCCCCCCCCGGGTATCTTGGCCACCTTGCAGTGAAATTTCAGATTTTCAATAGAAAAAAGCCGTATAAGAAAAGAAGTCATTAGCAAAAGAAGTCATTAGCTGTAAGCCATTTTATTTCCCTTCTTTCAGTTTATTTTTTCTAAAAATAGTCTACTTTGAGTTCCCTTATTCTATACCAGTTACGCCATAATATGATTCAAATTGCTAGTCTAAATTGATAATYATCCGTGACTTTCTAGCTGGACAGTTTCCAAGTGACATCAGAGGGCCATGCCTGCAAGCAAATATATCTGTAATCAATGTCAAATTGAAACTTTTTGAATAAGACGCTTAAAAAAGTGAGATTTAGTGACGAGTATTTATACCTGTCTACCTTCCATTGATCAAATTCTGCTCGAATAAAATCTTTTGGCCAATTTTGATGGTAGCAGTTTGCTCCTTGCCACCTTCCCCAGTAAATGACACTAAATAACTATCATCAGTTAAGGGATCTTCAATCTGGCCATCAGTACCAACTGGATTTCCACTGAAAGGCATCTCGATCTCTACTCCGAAATTAACCAACAGCTTTGAAACACCAGCTGGGATGGACTCAAGCTCCGCAAGCTAATAAAAAAGAGCGGACGAAATGCATGATTTTTAATGTTGAATATTACACGTATATACTCCATCCCCAGACAGTATCATCTACTTATACACTCGCCAAGSGATTGATTTTTCTGAACGATGTACGAGAGCATGAGTTTATTTTTTGGTTAACTGAGCTCAGCCGCATCAGATTTCACGTATGCGTCAAAATATTGAATCGATTTCGTTGTGAATAAATGGACAGTTTTTATTTGACGATACATCCCACCAGAAGTAATTCTGATCCCAWTTGTAAAATCTGCCTTATTGTGCCATTGTATAAAAAGTACTTAGAGGTAATCTGCATTACACACCTGAAGAAAATCTGGTTTCTTGACAGGAATGTGGGAAATATAGGCCTTCTCGTTGTTTCCATAAAGGAAGTATCTGCTMTTTTCAGGGTAGCCGGTGGTGTTAAGATCAAAGTGGTCAAACCTTGCCACATCCACAACTCTTATATTGGTTTTCATAAATGGTTTGCTTTCTACAGTGGGGATACCAGAGAAGCAGTAAACCTGTACAAACGAAATAACGATCAAGCCTTGTAGTCAAATTTAACCAGCCTATATAGCGTGTACAGGAAAAGACAAACCTCAACTTCAGGCTCATGTCGACCTGAATCTCCCTCATCAAAATCATACAACAGCATATCATGAACACGATTAGGTTCCACTCCACGAAGCACTAATGGTCCTCCTCGCTGTGCTGCTCCTTCAACTGCAACATCTCCATCGCCTTCGTTGCTGAACTGGCACTTGGCTAAAGCGTGGTACTGATGAGAGACGTTAGGGAATCTTCCTGCATAATACATGACCATGTGTTTATTCTTGTCCAGGACACCGCTTGTCACAAAGTCATGATGAGCGTTTGGATCAGTCACCTTGACAAAAAAAAAACAATCGAAGTTAAGACAATCAAGACGACGATGATGATAAAAACAACGAAATTGATGACGATRAAAGAAAGCAACAAAGCAAATTCAGAATTAAAATTATGAAAAGAAGAAAACTAGAAATGTTTCAGATTGTACGTACTGTTCCAATAGAGCACAGAATAGCATTCCTAAGAATGCCTGCCAGGTCGTCAACAAAATCCATGGTGGTGACGTAGGCATCCATACATGTTGTCATGATGTACTTGACACCGGTTGTATCATAASGATCAATCTAGAGAAAATATTCCTTTTATAAAACCTCTTTCATCTCGAATACGAGAAGTAGACATACCCTTTCAAATCTGTCTACAAATTACCCACTTAATTACTGTGTTTGATCTCCAATACTGTAATTCAGCATATCCGAACTCAATCGGTAGAACACTACCCGYCATTTGGTGTTTTTAYTCCCGTCAGTCAAAACACCCAACTTCACCGAACTGCTCAGTTTTCGAACGAACTTTGAAAATGGATGAGATTCCACAATTCCACTAAGTGTCTGTTAGAAATCCGCAGTCTTAATAAAGGAATCTTGAAAGCTSTTCAGTAAAGTTCAGAGTTTTGACGCAGATTTCAGTGTAAATCTTCTCATAGTCATGAAACGAGCAAAACCACATACCCCAAGTCTCTTCTTGAACTCTTTCAATGCTGTACTGTGGTTTGTATGCTTGTACGTAGATGCTGTAACTATCATTGGGAATCTAAAAGCGCTGACTCGGTCATCAGACATGCACAGGTCTTTAAAGACAGCTTGGACGATGTCGTTGACTAAGTTGACATCAGTGTTGCCTTTTATGTTGATGGAGAAACAGGGCAACATGGTGTCTGGTCCAATTTCACGTAGATATCGCATTACTTCGTCATTCTAAGAAAGTATAAAATTCATGTTTTTTTATGAATCAATGATACTTTGTAAAGTAATAAGAATTACTATTAATAGCTTTCCAGCT